GCAATCATTTGTGATTGTACACTGTCATGGTAACGCAGTCCACAGCGTCACGGTCACACTGTCACGCGCTCCGCCGTGCCTGGGGATCAGCCGTCTAGCCTCGCCCCAGGCGGCGCGCCCCCTGAGTCCCAACCCTAGGCAGCCCCAGGCCGGGCTTGAGGCTTGAGGTGTGCATAACCAAGCCATTACGGGACGCGGGCTTCTCGGACCTCCCCGCCTCCAAGGAGAAAGGTGCGAGGGAAGAGGAAAGGATTGCCGTCCTGGGTGCGGGGCGGCCGGGGGCGGAGACCGAGCAAGTCAGTGGTGTTTGCAAACGCAAAGCCGGAAAAGGGAGCGGGCGGCGTAAAATGTGCCAGTCGAGTCGGGACACACGTACTGTGTGAGTGTGTGTGTGTGTGGGAGAGAGAGCGTGGGTTTGTGGGTCCAGCAGAGGCGAGGCACGCAACCCACTACCCCCGATCTGCCATGCGCCTGCCCTGGCCTGCCTGGCCCGCCGTGCCGTGCCGCGCTCTCTCTCCCCCGACTGACAGGAGTTGGCGGTTGGACCAAAAGGGCGGTGGTGTGTGCGGTGTCACTGGGGTGCTTCGGGGCGTGGCGCGGCGTGGCGCGGCGTGGCGCGGCGTGGCGCGGCGCGCGGGGCGTCGCCTTGTTCTTCGGCCACGTGCTGGGCCCCGCCAGGCTCCACCAGGCTCCGCCAGGCCCCGCCAGGCCCCGCCATGGCCGTAGGCTGTCCGTCCCCGACAGACGCTGCTTCGCCGCTTCCGGCTATCGGCCGCGCCCATCGCCACTCCTCGCCTCCTTTCCGCGACCGTCTTATCCCGATTTGTGTTTTGTTTCTTTGTTTCTTTTCCCGTCGCGGAGTTCATTTTTTTTAGCGCGCCGCGGGCAACTCACTCGCATGAGAGGTCGCCGTTTGTCGCGTGCAGCGTGGACTGCGTGCCCTCGGGGCTGCAACGCACCGCACGGTCACCGCACCGACGACGCAGCGCACGTGTGCGCCGACTACGCCGACTGCACCGACAGCAGCGACTAAGTACGACGACCACACCGACTGCACACCCACCTGCTGGGTCCCAAACTGCCTCGGGCCCGGTCTGTCTTCGGCGCTGCGCTAAGGCGCGGCACGGCGCGGCACGGCGCGGCACGGCGCGGCACGGCGCGGTTACGTCGCCTCCAAAACAGCGGCCCGTCCGGTGCCCCACACGCCCCGCCCCGCCCCGCCGGCCCGGTGTGCCGCCCGCATGCATCATGAATCGCGGCGCCGTCGACCTCACGGCGGCGAGTCGTTTTCGTCTGTCTGTCTCTCTCGCACCTACAAGGGGCGCGCAAGAGTGCGAGAGAGACAGCGACGTGACTATACTCGGAACGAGTCTACAGGTTAGGCCGTTCGCGCTTCGCGCCAGGCGCGCAGTTTTAGCGCTGTCGCCACCAAGCCGACGGCGGCCATGGCGTGCAGAGGCGCGGCCACGACCAAAGCCGAAAATAATGAATCCGACTCGGCTCGTCCGAAGGCAGGCCGCAGGGTAGGGGACTTCCCTGCCGACCTGCCCCAACCGGGCCGGGTGGCGCGGCGCGGGCAGGGCCGGCAGAGGCGGCGGCAGAGCCACGGCACCAAGGCGGAGGGCGGAGCGGCACATAAAACTTGCTCTTCCTCACTCGCTTCCCTTCCGTCGCCGCGTCCCGCCGCCACGCCGGCAGTGGCGGCATTCCGCACCAGGGACAGACTGGGTCGCCCGAAAAATAAAACTCGGGCCGGGACCGGGAGTCGAACCCGGGGCACTCTACGCGATCAAACTCACCTGTGTGCTCAGGGTCGAGGGACCTCTCCGCCGGAGGTGCGGGCCGGGACCGGTGGCGGCGGCGAGCCGAGCGCGGCGCCGAAACCAAGCCGGGGCGACTGGGAGCCGAGCCGAGCCGTGAGCGCTTCCGTGACAGGCAGAGCAGCGCGTTGGCGAGGCGTCGGGGAGCGGGGCGTGGTGGCGCGCTGGGGACGGCGTCGGCGTCGCGGTCGGAGCGAGACTGAGCCGAGCGCCGGCCGAGCCAAGCCAACCAGCGCTGCCTGCCTGCCTGCCCCTGCCTGCCAGGCCCGGGGTCCGCCTTGCCAACCCGGCCGGCGCCCGGCGTCGCGTCGGCAGGGAGGGGGGAGGGGAGGGGAAGGGGAGGCATCTCTCTCGTTTGCTGCTGTGCCTGCCTGTGTGTCGTGTTGCGCTTTACGGTGTCGGTGCTCCAGGGCCCCGAAAGGAAGGGGTGGGGCGTAACCGGTGGTGTGTGTACGTGTGTGTGTGTGTGTGTGTGTGTGTGTGTGTGTGTGTGTGTGAGCGAGACCGCCGTGCTGTGCATGCATCAATTTGGTCGTGATGATAGACTGGCCGCTGGGAACCTGATTTAAAACCTGATTCGGTATCCGCCGCGCGGTGCACCGGGCGGGCCAGGTCGCACTCAACGCTCCGCCCACTTCCCTACACACGGCCACACGGCCAGTATATTTACTGGTGTCTGTGTCCCGGCCAAAACGTTATGGAAACTTGGTTGGCTAACCTGTGGCCGGCGGTCGGCCCTCGACGCGCGTAGGGTTGCCTACGGCCAGGCGCTCGCTGCGCACACGTGAGGTCGCGTACGTGGGATCCAATCACGGCCTTCGCGCTTGTTTTCGTTTTCCGTGCCGTTTTTTGTTTGCTCTCTGTGAGTTCGTTATTCCGCGCGACCCGCGTGCCCCGCCAGTGCCCTGCCAGTGATGATTGTCAGCGTGGCGGTGACGCCGCATTGTATGTGCCGCCGCACCGCCGCGGACAACTTTCTTCCCGCTCATTTAATTTCCTCCATCCATCCATCTCGGCGTCCTGGAGGCCTGAGCGGCCTGGGGGGCCTGGGAAGCCTGGAAGGCGGTCGTATTCCTTATCTTATTACCGCCATTCAACTCGCCGAGTCTCCCTGTTTTCCTTTCCCCCTTCCCGGACGCCGCCGCTCCACCGCAAGGCGCCGCACGGCGCGCGTGCGCACTTTTGACGCGCGTAACGGTGTAACGTGCGGAGTAACACAAGCCGCGACACCTGACACAATTAACGTCACCGAGGCGAGCGCGGGCGAGCGGCGGCAGGCGCGGCGGCTAGGCTGTTGTTGCTGCGGCCATATTGCCGCGCCTCCACGCGCCCGGCAAGGTGCGACGTGGCCGCCATCAAAAAGAAAAAGAGGAAAAAGGGAGGAATTAAATTGGAAGCCGTAGTAGCGTGACTGGAAAGCAAAGCCTTTCTGCCGCGGCGTGTTGACGCGGCCCGGCCGAACGGTAAACGGCTGCGCCATCTCGCGCGCCGCCCTTCCCTCTCTTTTTTTTTGCGAAATTAGGTGTTTGGTCGAGGTGTTGCGAGGCTGGTCAGGTCCTGGGCCCGCCTGGCGCCTAGCGTCGTCAATAGAGGTGCTGCTGGAACGTGTCAACGCTGTCGCACATGGGGCCGACTGGGGCGCTTTCCTAGCCCAGCACAGCAGGGAAATCCCGAACAGTTTTTTTCACCGCTCTGTGGCTGTAGAACCAGCCTGAGGCCTGAGCCGGCCTGAGGGATGGAAGCACCAGGGCTCATTTATGTTCTGAAAATATCTTGATCTAAACTGCACGCGGACTCCGACGCATTCTGCATTGACAGCGAGGGCGAGCGTGTAAGCGACCTTCTAGGGAAGGGATATCCTAGCCAGCGCACCACGCGGCCTCGTCAAGTTTGTTTTTCGCGCGGGAAAGACGGACTGCCTAACGTGAATCACCTCCGTGTGTACGCCGCACGCCCGGCCGCGTGGTTTTGCACGCCGCCCGCCCCTCTCTCACCCTTCGCCCGCCCGCCCCCCGCCCGCCCCCCGCCCGCCCAGACCAATCAAACTCGCGGAGCGATTCCTGTTTTTCGTGCGGCCTGCAAACACGGCCCGGCGGAATATTTGTGCGGAGTCCCGACCGAGGCCGTCGCCGCCCGCCATGCACACGCACAACATTATCAATTGATAGCGAAGGGATGTAATTCCGACTCCCCCTCCTCTTTTTTCGGCGCTTGCCAAGAAAAGTGCCGCTGTCTGGAATCGATTCCCGTCCCTCTGTGAGACGCTAGTTATGGCGAAGCGACGCCAGACGTCTGCAAGTGAGAAGTGGCTCGCAGCTTTGGCGGGGCGGGGCGGGGTGGGGCGGGCAGACACCCATTGGCCACCCTGCGGACTACCATCATACCACTGCCAGAGGCAGCGTGAGGCTTGCATCTAAATTCTGTCACGTCGTCTCCCCCCATCCCCACCGCAGCCCGGGCCCTTCCTGAGGCGTCCTCCAAAAGGGCCACGGCCTTCCCTTCCTTCACACGCACACGCGCCCGCACACACACACACACACACACACACAAGCGCGCGCGCACGCAAACAAACACACACATGCTGACTCGCACGCACACGTACGCGTCCAGGTGTTCCAGAGCATGCCGCGGCACGTCGAGGCCCCGCGCGGCGATGTGCTGGTTTGTGTCACGTCGTCACGTCGTGACGTGGGTGTGACGCTTGTGTGACGCGGTGCCCCTATCCAGTTTGATCCACTTTGCGGCGCGCTGATCAGTGGCGCTGCTGCCAACCCCTGTGTGTGTGTACACTGCACACCCGGCCGAAAAGCCACGCCGTGTTTCCGAGTAGCCAGAACAACCACGGCGCGGATCGGAACCGCGCTGCCGACCAAACGGAAAGTGAGCCGTGCAAGCAGAGCTACGCAGAGCAGTCGGAACAGCAACAGCCCAGCACAGAGAGCACAGCCAGACCGCACGGCTGGCCACGCACGCCAAGCCACGCACTGTCAGAGACTGATTCAGACCGTCCGGCCTGACAAACGGGCGGCGGAGGGCTGACCGCCGTGCCGAGCCGAGTCCTGCCATGTCTGCCAACCTGACATGTGGGTAGCCAGCCTGCAGGGCTGCCATCAAGGCTGCCATCACGCAGCGCCACGGAGGAGGAAATAACTGATGAGACCCTGTCCAGGGAAGCTTTAATTTTCACACCACAACATCCGCGCCCTTTGCGTTACGTCCTTTTCTTATCACATTAATTTTTTCCGTCGAAACACATTGAGATTTGGAAAGTACAGGGTCTGTGTGTCTGACGTTGCTGCTAGCTGGAGGCGTTCGATTTGTTGTAGTTGGTTTGCACTACCGACGTCCGGTTGGCTGCCCTCGGCGGCGCGTCGTCGCTGGCGTCCTCCTCCTTCACCTCCTCGTCCTGCTCGATGGTCACCTTGGTCTTCTTCCTCCTCCACCTCGAACACGGTCCCGTGTTTCGGATCCTGGTGCCTGCAGACAGCGAAACGTTTTACGTAAGACGGCACTGTAAATCCATTAGCAAGTTTCCTTGCCACTCCAGTGGCGCTCCGTTTTGAGTGCCAAAAATTTGGCCCTCTGGCCTTGCAACACCCTCTGTGAATGAATGCCAAAGTTTGGCCGCGTGCAGTGCCAGATTTTGGCTTTCTCAGAGGGATCCAAGGCCAGTGGGCCACATTTTGTCATTCATGGCGGAGCGCCACTGGAGAGGCGAGAACACTTGCCAAAGGATTTGCAGTGGGAAGTGTTTAAGACGACTCACTTTCCCCGGTGAGGCAGCCCTCGATCCTGACGTCGCAGAGACTGGCGAAGGTCCTCGTGCTGTTGCCGACCTGCGCGCAGACTGTCCGCTGGTACTTGGGCTTGCACAGGCTGGTGCACTCCTCCAGGTTGAGGTGCTCCACCGTCCGCGACGTCCTGGCCGCGGTAATCCTCCTGGCCGGCGACATTGTGGTCACAGCCTCGGGCCCCTCGGCCGTGGCGGCCGTGGCGGCCGTCCCCCTGCCCCGCACTCTGCGCTTGGAGACGTCGGATCTGCTACTTCTGACAGACAGTGGCGTGCCTGTCGGGGCCGCTTCGCTGGTTTTATTTTTGGTGGTAAAGGTGCTTTCAGCGTCAGGCGGATCGGGAGTCGCGTTTTCTGCTGATTGCTCCTGAATGGGCCGCGCGGAAGTTGGTTGGGAAACACCTCCCTCGGGAGACGGGCTGCTGCTGCTTTTCTCTCTCCCGACAAAAGATGAATCCTCGGCGCGGGGCTCGCTTGTCGTGCTCGTCGTGTTCAAAGGCGGAAGCGAGGGAAATGTGCGAGGCTCAGACGCGGCGGCGGTGGCCGCCGATTCAGCGAGGATCCTTTTCAGCGGCGTCGTTATGGCTGTCGGTGTTCTTGTCGCGGTCGCTGAAGTGGTTTCGGAAGTCCCGGGGGCAACTTGGCCGGCCCGGCCGTACCGACTCGAATGTTCCTCCTTCTCGGCGGTAGTCAACTTCCTCGCCTCGGCCGTCGTCGCCGTCGTCGTCGTCGTCTCGCCAAGCTCGGCGGCGTCGGTCGGCTTGGCCGCCTGAAAGCCCAGGCCCGCCTCCGGGCCGTCCAGCAGCGAGACGATCTTCAAGAAGGACCACTGCGTGTCGAGTGTGGTGGCCGTCGCCGCTCCGCCGGGCCGCGAGGTGGACGTGGTCGCCGTGGGCGGCGCGTCTTTTTCGCCTAACCGCACCGCCACCGGCTCGTCCACGGCCTCTGCGTCGAAAAGCGGGGCCTCGGCCGGAGCCTCGACAACGGCAAGTTCGGACAGGAAAGGGTTTATCACAGTCTTGGCCTCGAGCGCGATCTCCTTGGTGGGACCGAGAACAGCTGCTGGGCGTGTTTTTTCCACGGTAGGCGCACTGGTTGTGGGCGTCGGCGTGGTGCCCGCACCCGTCCCCGGCAGTTTTCCCCGACTTCTGTTCCGGCTTGCTGTGCTTTTGCCGCTCTGCGTTATGCCGACTTTCCACTTGATCTTGGAGAGGGTCCGCGTGGTGGTGCGGGCGGTGGCGCGCGCATCCACCGCCTTCCGCTGGTCGAATCGGCTTTCAATCTCCAGGTCGCCCGGCCGGAAGGCCGGACTGGGTCGGGCGGTGGTGGACGGGCCCGGCGACGGCTTCCGTGTAATTTGCTTCAACTTGATGACTTTGAAATCTCGCGTGGTGGCTCTAGGTGCGGCCGTCGTGGCCCTGCCGTGCAGCCGCCGCGACGATGGCGGGGGCGAGTGCCCCTTCGCGTCCCCCCGCGTGGACGGCCTGCAGTTCATCTCGATGACCACCTTCTCGGTGCCGTCGCTGGGAGCCTTCTCCTCCAGGGTCGAGATGGTGTCGGCGATCTCCGGGGAGCAGTCCGCCGTCTCCACGTACAGCACAACGCTGTTGCCGTCCGCCAGCACCTGGGCCCTGGGTCTGCCCGCCACCCAGGGGGCGATCTTGAAGGCGGGCGGCGCGGCAGGGGCCCTCGTGGAGCTGGTCAGCCTGGGCCACGCTGAGCTGCTTGCAGTTTCCGTGCTGCCGGACGAGCTCGTGGTCGTGGCGGGGGTCGTTGCCTCACCCGTCGTGGCCTCGCCCGTCGTCGCCGCGCTTGGCGGCGGGGAGCTGCGGCCATTCGGACCGTCCGCCGTCCGTGTCTGCATGGCGAGGACGTACTCCACGATGAGCTTCTTGAGCGCCTCGGGGGTCTTGGGGATGGCCTGGGCGTCCCTCGTCGGCCGGTCGAGGGCAAACGTCTCGTTGAGGACGGTGAGCGTCTCGTTGCCGCTGGTCTTGAGGACGGTCAGCGCGATGTGGTCCGCCGCACCGGCCGCACTGGCCGCACCGGCCGAGCCGCCCGCACCGCCCCACATTCCTTCGTCCTGAGGCGCGCTTGAATTGGAAGTGGCATCCCGGTTTGCCTGGCCAGTGGTTCCATTGAGCGCCGCCTCGTTAGCGGTACCCTCTATTATCCTTGTCCGCTCGGTCGGTGCTTCGGCCCGAGGGGTAATCACCTCACCCACCGGCCCTGTCTTGGGGTCGCTCCTGTTCCCGCCGCTTTTCATCTTGGAGAAGGTGATGACAATGGCCTTCTTGGAGGGTTTGAGCGCTTCCGCGCTGGGCACCAGGTTCGACACGGTGGCGCCTTTGGGGCGGCGCTTTGGGGTCGGCTCCACGATGATGTCTTCGGCCGTGGCCTTGAGGGCCGTGGTGCCTTCCCTGGTGGACGTTTGCAGTGTGGGCGATGCGCGCGTCGACGGCGGCGTCGCCGAGCTCGCAGAACCAATTTCCGCAAATACAGAGCGATTTCCGTCCGCCCGCTCCGGCGCGAGCGTCCCGTTACTTGTCGCCTTCCTGACTGTCACAACAAACAGTCTCCTCGACGACCTCTGCGCCGGAGTCGTACTGACAGGGCTTTCTGTAGCTCTTTTCAAGGGTTCCGTGGAAGACTCGGATTTCGTAGCGATTGCTGGGGTCGACCCGTTGCCGTTCGATTCGTGCGCTGGCCCTGCGGTAGTCCGCCTTCGGTCAACGTCAGCCTCACCGCTCGCAGAGCTGTTCCCCAAATCACGGTCTGGTCTGGTGACTGGGAGTGCTGTGGTCGACGCGATGAGACTTGTTTTCGTCGAGTATGACGGGGAAGACGGCTTTCGGGCCGCCGCCGTCCTCCGCCTGTTTTCTATCTCGCTGAGGAACTTGGCCAGGGCGGCGCCCAGCCACCCCGGCGGCGAGGCCTCCGTGGCGTTGTCCGCGGTGCCGCTGGGCGTGGTGGCCGAGGTCGTGGCCGAGGTCGTGGACCGCCGAGCTGCGTCGTCCGGGCCGCGGCTCACCTCCGAAGGGATCGAGTGCCTCAAGGTGTCCTCGGCGTCCCCGTGCCGCTCCGAGGCCATGGAGCTGGTAGGTGTCGACCTGTTCCACTTGGACTCCGCCCTCACCGTTGACCTTTCCGCAGAGCTATTCCTGGCCAGCGGCTTAATTGTCGAAGGCTGGCCGTGGTGGAGCCAATCAGCCGCGGTGATGGCCAGCTTGAAGTCATTTCCGGCGATGGTGGTCAGCGGGGGCTCGGGGCGGGGGCTTCTGGACAACGGCCTGCTGGACGAAGAGACCCGCTCCACCTCTGCGGGCGCTTCGGCGAAGTGCGTCGGCCTGGTCGAAGCGGGCTCCTCGGGATGCGTCCCCCCTGGCTCCGGGATGGCGATGTGTCCTTGGCTGTCCTCGGTGCGCCGCCGTAGTGGTGGAACCTGCGGACCCACGGTCCGCGCCACAACGCCGTGCTCGTCGGCGACCTTGCTTCTGTTCACTGGCGGCTCGTTCCACTTTTGCGTCACCCTGTGCGTCACGTCGCTCGCCTCGTGCGTCGCCCTGTGCCCGACGCCGTGCAGGCTGTCCTCATCGGAGGCCGTGTCCGTGGCGGCCGAGGTCCTCGCCTCTCCGGGCAACATGAAGTACAAGTCCTGGCCCGCGGAGGCCACGCTCTCCAGCAGAGTCTTGTGCCCAGACACGCTAGTGCGCACATTGGGCCGGTTCATGGCCTCAAGCAGGGTGGCGGGGCCGTCAGCGTCGCGGTGCCTCCCAGGGTCAGCATCCTTGACGCTGTGCAACAGCGTTTTGGGAAGATTACCTTCTCCGGAGAGCAGCGCGCCGTCCAGGTAGGCCGCGGTGGGCGCGCGGACGCCCAGCGCGACGCCCAGCGCGCTGCTGGACGCGGCCTGTGACTCCAGGCGCCTCAGCTTGGACGCCAGCTGCGTTGCAAAGAGTGGCGTCGAAAACGACATTACCGTGGACGACGTCATTGTCGCTGATGACGGTGTCGCAGACGGTCCTGATGATGACGCTGTTGATGACGTCAACGTTGATAATGACAGCGTAGTTGACGGAGACGTTGCTGACGAGAGCGTTGAAAGCGACTGTGTTGTTGACGACGGTGACGGCGTGGATGCTGACGATTTAGCTACCGCAGTCGAAGTAAGCGACAGCGGTATCGGCAGTTGCCTCCACGACGTTGTGGAGGAGCGGCGCGTCTCGCCCCACGGCCGCGTTGTCCGGGACGTTGGCGCCGTCGCACAGGTGGCCGCCACTGCGAGGAAGACATCAGCGGGTGAGGGAATGTGCCGCCAGTGTGGCGGCGGTGGCGCGCCAACTCCGACTCGACTCACCCAGTGCGAAGGCCAGCGCTGCAGTCACATGCATGGGGCTCCGCCCAGCTCCGCCCAGGGCTCGGCGCCGTCCTGCGTCACGCTGCGACAAGCGGCGCCGCGGCACCGGCCTCTGAGGCACGGCGTGCACCGCGGCTGGCGTGGGCGGTGACGGGGACGGCCGCCAGGAGCCGGGGCGCCGGCCAGCGCACGCAAACGCCGCACTCGGAACGGACGACGGCGAGCTCGTGGCGCGGTCGGCGCGGTGGCGCGGTCGGCGCGGTGGCGCGGTCGGCGCGGTCGGCGCGGTCAGGCGCTGCCAGGCCAACCCGCCGGCCAAGCGCGTGTGGCGTGTGGCCTACCCTTCACTTCGCAGGCGCTCCGCCCAGCGCGCCGCGGTTTCCGTCCAGCTGCCCGAAAAGAAGCTGACCTCTGTGGGCCTTTTGCCTTTTGCGTGCTGTCCCTTTGACGGCAAAGACGGGAAGCGAGGAGTGCGGGCCGTGCGGGCCGCGCCGCGACACCAGGGCGGTCTTCCTTCTTAACTAATTCGCTTTTAATTGGAGCTGGTGCGGCGGTGGGGCAGGGCGTGTCGCCTTTGGCAGCGCAGCGGGCTGTCTGTCTCTCTCGTACCACTGCGCCACTCCGTGAGTGCGAGAGAGACAGCGCGACGAGAGCAGTGTCCGGAACGAGCCTGCCGAGCGGAAGCAGCTCTACGGGGAATTAACGGCGACAAAAGCGCCGAAACGGAAAGGCGAATTAGGCGCATTATGATTTGGGACTCGCGGTGGCACGGCCATTCTTCCGCTGAGTTCGCCCGAAGGATCGCTCTGTCTCTCTCGCACTCATGGGTCGCCCCGTGTAGGTGCGAGAGAGACAGCGACGAAACGAAAACGATCCTTCGGAATCAGTCTGCTGGTTCGACGGCCCAGCCGCGGCGGCGGCCTCCAAAGACTCGGAAATGTGGACAACTCCGCCGCCGCGGTGCTCGCGTCCACGTCGCGTAATCCTCCACCTCGCTGCCCAAACTGGCAAAGTGGCCCATCGGATCGGCGGTGGTCGTGATTGGCGGTTGGCGGTAAGAGGATTAAATCCAGCCGCTCGTGCACTGCTGGGGCACTGGGGGGCCCGGCGGGACCGCTGGTGCAGTGGAAACCGGGCTTCTCGGTCACGGGGTTGATGAGGGGGCGCACGGCGTGTAGTTAGCGCTCGTGGGCGAGCACGCTCGGTGTCATTTCAAAGCCTGGCCGACAACCCTTTGATGTCTGGCCCCGTCCAAGCCGTGCAGTGCCGCTCAAAAATCACACGCCGCCCTGAGCGCTCAGCCCGGCTTGCCCGAATGATAATTTATTATAATTTGCGACGCGCGCAAGGAGAGGGCGGCGGGGTGGCGGTGGAGTGCCGAAGGGGCACTGTTCCAAAACACCCGCATCGTCGCGCCGGGCCGGCGTCGGAGTCGGGGCCGCGGGCGAGGTCGCGCAGACTCCAGCTCGCTCAACAGACGGGCGGCGGCGGGCAGGTGGTGCGTGGGTGGGAAGGTCCCAGGGTGACGAGTAGGGTGCGTGTCTGGACGGACGGACGGACGGACGGACGGACAGAGGCGGATAGACGGACGGACGGACGGACAGACAGACGGACGCCGCCGGAGAGGCAATTTTCCAGTCCGGGACGCCGAGGGTGCGCGCCAGAGCCAGTGTACTGGCGATGAGGTGGCAGCGGTAGCATGGGCCGCGCCGCCCTGCTTGATTTAACTTAATCTAAGCTTCCACCGCACTCGCTGCTCGGTGCATGCCGCGTGGCGCACTGAACCGAACTTTGCCGCTCAGCAGCTTCGCCTTGCTTCGCCTTCCCTGGGATCAGGCCAAAAGCGCGCGATCCCCGTCTCGGCCGATCTCAGCGTTTCCCCGCCACGGCGCGCCTTTTTACGACATGCCGGCCACGTCGCTGGAGCCTGGCAGCCTGGCAGCCTGGCTGTGCCATTCCTCAACTGCAGTTAGCGCCGCAACCGCCTGCCTGCCAGTCTGCCTGCCTCCCTGCCTTGCCAGCCTGATGGCGTCTCCTTTTTACTACGCTATTTGATAAAGTCGGATGCAAACAGTGAGCCCCTTGCGGCGGCGCTCCCTGTCCTCGCCGCGTCACTGCCCGGCCAGGGGCCCCGCCACTCCGCCTCACCCCACCGCACCCCGCCCCACCCCACCCCGCCCTTCCACACGACGCCGGTAATTAAAAGCCAACATGGAGCGCGGGGTGGGCTGCGAGATGGCGACCTGACGACCCCGCACACTCACTACCTCACTCACCCACACTCTAACACACCCACTCATTCACTAACCCCCCCCCTCTCTCTCTCTCCTCTCTCTCTCACACACACACACACACACACACGGACACACACACACACACGCACGGACACGTATAGACAGTCAAACAAACACATACACTCAGGCACACTCACACTTCCACTCACGCGCGGTGGGGCTCAAACTGGCCCTAAGCAACACACACACGACGGGACAGATTTTCGTGAGAATTTCGTAAAAAGGGCACAGGTGTGGTTGGCTTTTCTGGTCTACCCGGCGGTCCGACCGGAAAGGCGTGGCGTGGCGTGGCGTGGGGCAGCCCGTCCGTCCGTCCGTCCGCGCCTCTGTTTGCGGGGAGCGCCTGCAGGGAAGGCATCCCACTCGACACGCGAGCCCGGCGGCCTGGAGCCAGGCGCTCCGGCCCCTGCAGGCTGACTCCGAACGGTGCGTTCGTCGCTGTCTCCGTCTCGCTCGCGCCCCTCGCTGCGCCCCTCGCTGCGCCCATGAGAGCGAGAGAGGCAGCGCCGAGGGCACTGTCCGGAATCGGCCTGCTGCGCCGGAAGTCTCTCCAGCGCCGGCCTACAATTTCCCGCGCCTATCCGCCCGTGGCCTCCTCCCACCTAATTTTTTTCTCGATTAATTTTCGGGGCGTGAGTCCATTACCGCCCCTGGGGAGGTCAGAACACAACACTCCCCCTGGCCGGCGGCGGCAAGCGGCGGCGTGGCGAACCAGGCCGTGATCGGGGTGCTCGGCGTGTCGTGTGAGCGAGGGCGTGGGGCGTGGCCACGCCGCGTGGCGGGTGGCGGGGGCGTTGGAGCGTGATGAGGTTGCTGGTCCCGAGGGGGCGGGGCGGCGGGGCGGGGGATGGCGGTCCTCTAGCGTGTTTACGCAGGCCAGGGCTAGGGGCCAGGCCAGGGCCTCGGCTGCCTCGACCGGGCCGAGGTGAGAACTTTCCCCGCCATACACCTCAACTCCCTCCTGCTTTGGCGCTAGCGCGCGCTGGCGCCTCCAACCCGCCCGGCCCGGCAGCCCCGACCCACGACGACGACGACGCGACCAGCCCCGCGCCGCCTCCAGATTACGATTAGGTAAGCTTCTGGCAAATTGAGACACATGGCAGCACTGGGAGACCGTGGAGCGGCGCGGAGCGGCGTGGCAGAGCCCTCTCTCCCTTCCCCTATCCTCCAGCAAGGAGCGGGTTCACGAACTTGAATCAGAAAAGTGGAGTGAGTGAGCAGCTAGCACGGCAGCAGCAGAGTAGAAGGTGCCGAATACGTGTCTGTCCTGGAGTCAGAAGCAATAAATAAAATGTCAGTATGTGGATGGATTTCAACCCTCCGCCTTGAGTCCCCCCCCCCCCTATAACCGTGACGCCGTTCAGATTTCGCGCACAGTATTTATTGTGCACTTGTCTTGCCTTCTCTGCGCCCAAAGCCGATGCAGAAAACTAGATGCCCTGGGAGGGCGCTGCCATGGTCCCATTGGTCGAGGAGGCTGGATGGGTGAGGGCCGTGAGGGCGTGCCGCTACACCGCTACCGTCGCGTTTCGCCCTGATCAGCAACGCATTTCTCGGCATCACGTCACGCCGATTCCAAGCGGTGCTCTGTCTCTCTCGCCCTCATAGGGCGTCGCGGCGGTGTGCGAGAGGGACAGAGCGAAGCGGCGCTGTTTAGAAACAGCCCGCTGTCACAACTTGCGTAGTAAAGAGTCTCACTTTAGCCGCACCCACCCCCTTCACTATCTGCTATGGCAGCCATACGCATAAAATCCAGACGTAAATGTCGTCTATTTGTTCCGAGTTCTCTTCTCAGCGAGTGGGCCTTGATCTTCCCCTCACTCCGAGAGCAGCCCCCGCAGGCTGATTCCGAACAATGCTTTCGTCGCTGTGTCTCACTCTATCTCAAGGTCGTCCTCCGTAGGGGTGCGAGAGACAGCGCGACAAAGAACTGCTGGGAAGGGAATCAGCCTGCTGCGTCCTGGCGGAGGTTCGAAGACCTACCCGTCTCGCCTCGGAGATCCCTCGCCTTGTCCATACCCCTCGTTGGCGCTACGCCCTGACCGAGACTCCACAAGAGACATGGGGTAGCGACCGCTGCCAAATCCTCGTGGAAATGTCAACGGCGAATGAGAGCAAGAGTGCAGGTGTGGAGCTACAGTTTTCCATTTCTAGTGAAGACAATGGTTTGTGTTTAGCGGCGTTGTAGCCAGAGTTGTCACTTCATGAGCAATTTTGATGAAGATACTGGTCTTCACTTCAAAATTAGAGACAAGATTAAGCAATTCTTCTGGTCAGCCAATTCACTTCACAAGGCTGTTTCCTCTGTTCACCACTACACTTCATTAGAAAAATTACCACAATTTCTTAACGCAGGGACAACAGCAGTCAGACCGACTTTTGCTTTTGAGGACTGTTACAAGTGAGCCACGTAGTTTGGAAAGGAAAGGAAGATTCGTAGAAAGAATCAACATAATATAAAATTAGTCAATGTGAAATGAGAAATTAGTCAAGGTGGTTTTATGATTTTTTTATTGGAATATTTAAACTGACATTTACTTGGCGTGCTTACGCATCTGGGTAAGGATAGCTCCCAGTTCTTCACGCTTCCTCTTGGCACGGATGTGGGTGCCCAACTGAAACACAAGCAAACAATCATCATTAAAATCTGCCACTTAGAAGCAGAAGAGACACCAAACAAATGAGCAAAAGATAAGTGAACTACTACACAAAATATTGATATATAATGATAATTTGACATCACACCATACAATAAAGGGGTAAGAAGCCTTAACACTGTTATGTCTAGACTTAGCAATAGAAATTGCAAACTGTGCCTTTGGATAAAGAACTTCATGTGGTAAATCTATTTTCTTTAATTGACACTAAAGCATGAATTTAACTTACCCTGCGCTTCAGGTACTTGAGGGCTCTCTTATCCTTAGACACCTTCAGCAATTCCATGGCACGCTTTTCATAAGGTGCGTGTCCCATAACTTCCCTGACGAGATCACGGACAAACTTAGTGTGTTTGGTCTGGGTCTGCAAGCGAAAAAAACAAACTGTGAGGAAACTGGCCTTCCAAAAATACAGGTCAATGATACAAAGGTCTATTACTTACTCCCTTTGTTCTGGCAGGACGAAGCTTGTTCTGCTTGTCAACCTTCTCGCTGGCTGACTTCAGGAAGCGGATCTTGGTGGTTTTGTGGCCCTTGTCGAGGCCGACGGCCAATTCATAACGAGGAGCCATGGCTAAAACGACAAAAATTCCGTTTAGAACAAATGGCAAAGAGTGACAGCAAATATTGGGGAGCAACTTAGCATTGGATCTCTTGGTAGGCCAAACACTTGTCAGTGAGTATAAACAAGGAACGTCGCGCGACACTAAGGATTCACATGACAGGACAAAATGAGGGGAAGAGGGCAGCAAGCGTAAAATACGGTCTTAAACTTGAACAACAGAATCTTTAACATAAAGACACCGCACACGACAAACAGTGTTTTTCTAGTGCAGACAACAGCGCGCAGTCACAACTACAAAAAGTTCTCGAAAGAACGCATTGAAGAGCAAGCAAAACAAACGTAGCTTGCAACTGAAAATAGAAGGAATTTACAGAGAAACAGCTGCACGAAATCAGTTTACCCAAACCGCACCAGTGTGAAGGTTAGGAAACGCAGGCAACACACAACAAATCACTTTAACGCCGGGACATAATGAGAAAGAACTAACTCAATTAACAAGAGCGAGAACGGAATGTAAGCGAAAATTTTGATGGGCAGTCCAAGGATCAATACAAACCGATTGCAAATTAATGTCCAGATAAAGATTCCAAAACACATACCTACTCGCGTTTACTTCACGTAGCGACACACCGGAAGAAAGCGTGTCCGTCTGAGTTTCTGTGAGCCGGGGATTTCTTTTCTTCTTCTTTACTTGTGGCTTGGGTGCCGTCTCTTGGGTCCAGCCAGGAAATTTCATCATCAGTTTAGCATTAAACTTGGTGTTCTGATGGTTTAATCAATCTCTAATCCTTCCCGTCAATAAATTGAGAAAGCACGATGTTTTTACAGTTAGAAAGATGGAAACAAAGCAGCTCAAAGCAGCTCAGCTTGCCTCGAAGAAAATTTTGTTTTCGCATGTTGGTGCTGCTGGGCAACTTCGGCGAAGGGTGGACAACGTTTACATTGAAAATACAGAGGAAAAGCCTTTGGTATTTTTTTGTGTGTTTACATTATGGTTTTCTTCTCTAGCAACTCATAATATTAAGATTGTTAGTAAGAAAATGCATTGAAAAAAACTTTTTGTACCCGGAAGAAGTGGTTTGAGTTATAGTGTCAATATTTTAGTGATGCACAGCTCCGTCGTCTGCTCTGCTGCAATTTTTAGTGTTGGGAAAAGTTAAAGTTTCGATAGTGTATTTACTTAATTTGCCCTATCTTCTGTTTGCATTTTCGTAATTGGCAACGAGCTTAAAACTGTTTTCCAAGCTGTATGGAAGCTGTTACAGGCTCTGGACTTTTGTCTACTGGCTCATTTTCCCTTTACCAAAATGCTTAACTAACTGAAGTTTGGTGTATCAGCTCATTTGTTACAGTCAAATTCATGACGAGTTTAGCTCAATTTGACTTTCAAACTCTTAAAATTGAGGACTCAAGTGTGTTAGATTGCTCGACTATGTCGGGTGATCGCGTTGGTAGGGTGTTAAGAGGAAATCCGTCTCAGTATGTCAAACTAAACATCGGGGGGTCCCTGCACTACACAACCATTGGGACCCTAACCAAACATGATACTATGTTAAGAGCAATGTTCAGCGGTCGCATGGAAGTTCTGACAGACTCTGAAGGTATATTGTTCATAAATATTTACTTATATCAGACATTGGTATTTATGCGCCTACTGACTAACTCCTACTGAACGTTGTGTGTTGCACAGGTTGGATTTTGATTGATCGATGTGGAAACCATTTCGGATCTATTTTGAATTTTCTGCGAGATGGATGTATACCACTGCCTGAGTCTGCGAAAGAGACAGCTGAATTACTTGCTGAAGCCAAATATTATTGCATTTCTGATCTCGCTGAAAGCTGTGAACGAGCCTTGCAGAAAAAGCAAAGGGATGCAGAGCCGATTTGTAGAGTAGCTCTGATTACATCACAGAAAGAAGAGCAACTCCTCATAGGCTCAACAACTAAGGTACTGAAGCTCTATATTCTTCTTTTCTGAGCTAATAATTGGAATTTATATTTTCATTCACTTCAAGTTTTTCTAATTTGTCTTTCCCTTTTTCAGCCTATAGTTAAGCTTCTTATAAATAGACACAATAACAAATACTCTTATACAAGGTAACAAGAATGTGCAACCATCGAATTGTCAAACAACTTCAAATTATTTTTCTCTAACCTTAACAACCATATTTTTTCAGTACCTCTGATGATAACCTCTTGAAAAATATAGAGCTTTTTGATAAGTTATCACTTCGGTATAGTATGAGATTGATGTTTATAAAAGATGTTATTGGATCTAGTGAAATATGCTGTTGGTCTTTTTATGGACATGGGAAGAGGGTTGCTGAAGTTTGCTGCACCTCGATTGTTTATGCAACTGACAAAAAGCATACTAAGGTTAGTGTTCATCATTTTACTTTTGCTCTCATTTATTCTTCAAAGTATTTTTTTGCTACATTCATGTATCTGTCTTCTCTAAGGTTGAATTCCCTGAGGCAAGAATATTTGAGGAAACTTTGCATTTATTTCTGTATGAAGACCGAGCCGGACCAGATCAGGAGCTAATTCAAGCTACTTCTTCTCGCTGTGGTGCAGTGGCTGGAATGTCTTCTTACACTAGTGATGAAGAAGAAGAGAGATCTGGCCTAGCTAGACTTCGTTCCAACAAGCAGAACAACACCTAGGGTCGACAGCAGCTCCTGGAAAGGTGACCAAGCCAACGTCCAGGTGCTGCTCTGCGCGATGATACCTGGATAACTCGAATTCAAAACTTCTGGTGAATAACCAGTGACCTTAGCGCTGATAAAAAGATTATTTTGATTAAATTCTTTATCTGACATTTCCCTCATCAAATGGGAAGCAGACAGATAGTCAGTATTGTATCCTCTTCTTTTGGAATTGTTAAGCAGCATATTGTATGTAATACATAATATACTGTGATGTATCGAAATTTACCTCTTGACAAAAGCAGGCATTGAAAGAATTGCCATTAATTTCAAGTTTGCTTTTTAGTTTACTTTTCAATTGGGGTGGAAATGGTAGCCAAAACACTACATTCCAATTTAACCCATGTGTAAGATGGATATGTTTCATTAAAAAAAGTTATCAAGCAAAAAAAATTGATAATCTAGCCATTTAAGTTGTTATTTTGAAAGTTTTCTTCGCAAAGAGTGGCTTCTATTATATTACATAGAAAGTTTACAAAGCCTTATTTGACTTAAAAGCCTTGTTAGAGAGAAAACATTTTGAGCAACCATTGTGTCGGGTAGTGAGTCATGGGCTGCTTGTACATGAATACTTCCAGACTTTACAGTATTCGTACCTTTTCCTCTGCTCTGTGTCAAAATATGTGCCCACACAACATGTACTCAAAGATCTTTGTCACTGACACTTCTTTCTATTGATCCCAAATAAGTATTGTTTTCCTTGTGCCAAAGTAAATCACATTAACGTATTATACTAAATTAAAATTGCCATAAAATATGTTTTCATTATTTGAACCACGGTACATTAATAGAAGTGGTTTGTGTGATATTTTCCCTCTTTAATCACATGCATAATTTTATCATTCTGTTAACTGACTGTGTGTGTAAATGGACTCCATCGCACATGTTACATGTTTATTCCATCTGCTGATCATGAGATTAGTTTAATTATTCTGCTAAAAAAAGCTGCTATGACTGGATGCACTGTAATTGTCTGTTGAGATTGTTTTACAGCAAGTGTCTTGTTGGTTTTTCTTTAATACAGTGTATAGAGAACCTTAACTTCAAATACTGACAGGAAAATGGTAAAAACTGTTAAGGAAATGCAGTAAATGAGACTCAATCTTTGTTTTTTTATTATAAAAGATATGACTGTTAAGTTATCTTTTTATTTTCAAACATTGTTGTTTTTGTTGGAAGGTTATATAGTATTTATAAACTTTGTGTTATCTTGACACAGTAAACATAGTACTATTGTTTCCCCAAGAATGAATGTCTTATGAAATCATGACCCCATAATTTGTTTGCTAGGAAGTGTTTCAAATGAAACTGTCGCTGCCATGGTTACTGGCATGTGGTTACAGGTAACACCTTTTATTCTGTATCATAGATGTACATTGTATTGGAAATGAGCCTCACCAATCATCATGTTTGACACTGCACAGGAATGCTGCTGTCTGACAGGCACATTCAATTACTTTTTGTTTTGTGATGTGAAGGGTATATGTAGCAGCAACATACATGTTACTCTTAAGGACTAATCGCATGTTTAGAAGAAGCAAAACTATCTATTGTGGCTGTGACATTGGAAAAATGATGAGATACTGCATACGTATTGAGGGTGTGTGGGGTTTCATTCATCACAAATTATTTTATTATTCTGTTTTTTATACAGGTATTTTTAATTCTCTCATGTGACATAAGCATTGTTCAGTAAATTTCAGAACAGTTTGTGATATTCTCACTTTTATTTAGACACTATTGAATCTTAGCTAAATGTTATGCTAAATGTAATGTGATCAGCGTGATCAGCAGAGCGTAACTTCCTATATAAAATAAATACAATATTGCTTCTCAATATTAAACCATTTAATTCGCTCTCTCTCTCTCTCTCTCTCTCTCTCTCTCTGTACATTTTTTTAGGGCACACCCACGCTGTAACTTTTCGATGACGCACCAACTAGAGCACTAGAGTCCTACAGTGGACTAACCGACTAAGACTCTACGACTCTGAGGCACGTGCGCGGCCGATTGGTGTCATCTGCAGCCACGCATTGGCAAGCGTTGGCCAATCCTCTTGAATTGAATTGAGTCTCGAAAGCACTTTGCCGAGAGCTGCGCGGAGCTGCGTGTGTGAAGTCATGGGTGACGTGGCGGTGCCGTGGCCGCGCCGCTGGCTAGAGGCTCGTCTGCGAGTGGAGTGACGACTTGGCTTTAGAATCCAGAGGATGATGTCACTGCGAACCGCGCGGACGAGAGGGACGACGGACTGAAGGGGGCGCCTCGGTGCTCGCGAGACCGTCCCAGCGGAACGCCTCCTGTACCAAACTACACGGGGACCAGATCTAGAATTTGCGAACGTTCATATCAGGCGTGGATCCTCAGGAAGCAGTGGCGTGCGCAGGGGGGGGGTCAGGGGGGTCATGACCCCCCCCTTTGGCCACTAGACAGCCGCCTGAAAGGTAGGCAAATTGCGTCACTTTCCCCCTGTAAGTAGGCAAAAAGCGTGGCCTGACCCCCCCCTTTCTAAATTTCTGCGCACGCCACTGTCAGGAAGTTTGGGGGGGGGGGGGATTACCTTGGGTACTCCAGGCCCCCTGTACGCAGGCAAAAAGCGCAACATCTCTTCCCCTGGGAAGAATCCTGGCGCGCCTGCAGATTTCACTGACCATTCCAGATTTCAAAATGTGGGGCGGCGATTGACGGTTCGCGCCCATGGGCGTGCCGAGCTGGCCCTTTTTCGGAATTGTGCTGACGCCGTGCTGAGTGCGTCGCCCTGCCAGTGGCCTGACACCGGTGGCCTACAGCGTGTTCTGGAATTCCCTAGGCAACTCGGCGAAGGAGATGGAGGTTGGCAACCCACCCGGCACCGCGGCTCAGCAACAACTTTAACTTACTTGTCGCATGTGACAGTGACCTTTACCAAAGGGGATACTGAACTGAACGCCCTAGCGAATTCATTTTATTTGCCGATGATGTGACAATCGTAACTCGAGATTCTGAAACCCTCTGAAATGCAAGGTGGAGGGAGGAACGCGCGAGGAGATGCCAGATAGCAATGGCCAGCCACGCCCCGCCCTTCCCCGCCACGCCCCGCCACGCCCCGCGAGCGAGGCGCCCGTGACCCCAGCCGAGCGACTCCACAGGTCACTCCAGCCAACCTGCTCGGCCTGCTCCGTCCCCTCCAGCTCCCTGCCAGAGCCGCCGAGCCCGAGTCCAGGCTCTGGAGTCCAGGCTGGGTGCTCGCTGGAAGGCCGACGCCGACACTGCATTTCTTCCGGCCGCTCCGGGCCTTCCGGGGACCTGCCAGCAGCAGGCACTCCCTGGAGACTTGTGACCGGCTTCCGCGGCAAAAAGAATAAAAACTGGAGCTCAGTTTGGCGGAGTCCTTGATCGCCACGGCAGGAAACCGACGAGGAAAACACGTCATCTCTGTACGGGACGCCCCGTGAGTGCGAGAGAGACAGGCTGCAGCTCTGCGAATCGCTTCCGGCGGTCACACCGTGTCCACAACGCCAACGCTGCGCCGCAAACGCCACTGGCCGCGACAGTGCGCGATATGCGCGTCGCTCGTCGAGCTTGACGCCGTCATCGCCCAGCTGGGGCTGGGGGAGTTGAGGCAGAACGACCGGACGGACGGACGGGCGCGAGGCGCGGTCGAGCGCCGCCAACACCAACCAACATGCAGGGCAGGCGGGGGGCCTCCGGGGCGGCAGCGGCGTACGCACTGCGTGCGAAGTGCACTGGCCATGGGGCCACGCCATGGGGCCACGCCATGGGGCCACGCCGTGGGGCACTCCTACAAGGAGACGCCCGCAGCCATGACGCACCGTGCAAACGCTCCTATGCTGTGCCTCACGCGGCTTCGTGGAACAGTGTATCAGTTGTATCGGGGTGGACTCAGTGGACTCCAGCCGAGCCGGCGCGGCGCGAGGCCCGATGCAGTACAGGCCGTCCTCTATTTCTGTCGCCGTCAAGCTTCAAAAATTACTTCAGTGGTCAATTTGGCGCGGTGTGGCCGAGTGCCCCGCCCCGCCCCTCGCACGGCGCTTTGTCCGCGCGGCGGCCTTGTGCCCGCCTGCCCCGCAGCCCCGCCTGGCCGCGGACGCGTGCGAAGCGCCAAGCGGCACCGAGTGGATTCCAATGAGAGAATGGAATGGCGCGTTGGCTGGACTGGCTCCACGAGCTCCACGTTGCGGAAGCGGCCCTCCGCGACCGCCCGTCCTCGCGGGCCTTGTTACAGTGTCACGACCACCGGGGAAGTCCGGCCGACAAATGTCTGCATTGGTCGCTCGCGGTCGGTGCAATGGCCAACCGCAGCAATTATTGGGCCACAGGCCGGGTTAAAAAATAACGCTCACATAATTTAATTTTTTTAATTTCATAATATCTATTTAATAAAATTATACAAAATCTTAACATACTCCTTTTCTTTTTATTCTTCGGAAGTTTCACTTCAAGGCAATAAAGTGGCAAACACAGGACGGAAATACTGTCCATACCGGTAACTGTACAACTTTCTTTGGACTTGCTTGAAGCAGCGGATATACTGCATCGACACTGTTAGGCATGTCGTCTATGCATTCCCCTTGCAGGCACTCGCAGGGTACAGAACACAACTAAAAAGTCATAGTCAGGAATGAAAACAATAATTTAAAACTTAAACAGCCTAAAGTACGAGGGTTAAGAACAGAAGACTTGTTTTGATCATCTTGAAAACCAATCAAGTTGGCGAGACAGAGATCCATGTTCAGTACCGCGACCGCTCGGCCTTCTTGATGGCGCCGGCGAGTCCAAGCGCGAACCACACTCCGAGGAGCTGGAACAGAACAGAGGGTGACTTTAGTTGGTCCAGGTCGCCGACGAGCCCACCCAACCCTACCAGCTTCCAGACACGCACCTCGACCAGCGCGACGCCGATGGCCACTCCGCCGACGATCTTGCCATTCTTGACGAGGAAGTCCTCGATCTTCTGCTTGCAGCCGTCCTGGTAGGCGGTGATGACGGTGCAGCCGCTCTGGCCTCCGCAGCAAGAGGGGCGCAGCGAAAGGCCTTGCCAGAAAGAGGGGCCGTTGGTGCCGCAGCACTTGAGCTGCAAACACAACACGAAGTAAGCCACCGTGCTCCCGGACCGAGGAGGAACATGCCTTGCATCGATTAGCACTTACGTTCTTCTGGAAGTAGTCGACCGCCTCGCCGGCCAGCTTGTCGTCGCCCTGGTTCGCGTTCTCGAACAGCTTGTTGATGCCGAGGTTCACCTCGTCGTGCGCCTGCGAGCTGTACACGAAGGCCAGCACGCAGGCCACCACCTCGACGACGATGATCACCAGGAGCAGCACGGCGAACTGAAACACCAGAGTCAGGGCTGAGCCAACCTGGCGGACACTTTGAACCCTCTCGGCGAACAAGCGCGGATCTCTACGCGACGAGGCCACCTGGATGGTAGGCGTAAGTCACACTTTGGCCCTGTAAGTAGTCAATCTGCTATCCCTTTCCAACCCGAACCCGTCTCTGGATCCGCCCCTTGAACATGCGACACTTACCGTCACCAGCATGCAGTGGCTCTCGCGGACGGCGCCGCAGCACCCGTAGAAGGCGATGACGAAGATGATGATGCCGGCAATCAGCAGCACGATGGCCGAGGAGCCGAGGTGGTTACCGATCTGCGACAACGGCGCCGTGGCGTGTAGCGACAGAGCGCCCAGGACCACCAGCAGGAGTCCGCATAACTGCAAGCACAACGCACACACATCAAAATGCGCTCCAAGACCTCCAAGTCCTACCGACTTATACACAGAAGGGAAGGCGCGGCAGGTGATTGGCTGCCGCACTCACAGTGCGGTCCGTGTAAGCGAGAGAAAGAGACGAAACGCCAGCGGACCAGTCTCCTGGTCGGTATTCCCACGACGGGCGCCTCCAGGTTGACGGTTGACAGGGAGGGTAACGCATGGAGTGGAGGGGGAACGGATGTTGATACGAGGGCCTAGACGAAGGCGAAGCGCACGCAGCGTCGCCCGCCCCCGCCCCCCATCCCCGCGGTCGCCGTCGGAGAGTGCGACGCGCGACGCCCATGCGAGATAATGGTGCGTCCGGCCGAGCGAAGCACCCAGGCTGCCAGCCCAGGAATTCCGTCTCTCTCGCACCCCTACAAACCGCCCCATGAGTGCGACAGAGACAATCGGCAAGGCGTATCGCATCGCCCGCTCCAGAAATCGCTCGTCTCCTCGCGGAAGGCCAGCAGAGCGTCAACCGCCAGTAAGGAGACGTGCGCGCTGTGCGGCCGCCGCCGGTGGCCTTGGCCGTGGCGTGCCGCGCCATGAGCACCAGCAACAACAGCCAGGCGTCATGGCCGCTTCGCCGCTTCGCCGCTTCGCCCAGCCACGCTCAGCATGGTGGCGGCGCGGCCACGTCGCAACGCGACCCGGCCAAGTCAGGCCCAGGGCTACCACCGGGCCGCGAGGGACCCGGGACTACGTACGCCGTCAGCATGTCGGAATACAAAGCAGGCGGCCAGAGTTTTGCCGCCGTCTCGCCGTCGCACTCAAGGAGCGTCAGGACCATCATGTTCTTGTAGGGGTGCGACAGAGACAAGTCTTCGGAATCAGTCCGCAGAAGTCCCGGCGGCGTCGAGTGCGCAGACAGCGCAGGCCCGGACCAGGCGCCGACCAAGAGGCCGGGCTCGGGCTTAGCCTGGCGGACGACTTTTGTCAAGGTCAGCGTGGCAGAGTCGTACTGTACGACGCGAAAAATGGATCGCCTTCCATGGCGAGGCGTGGCGCCGCGTGGAGTCGCGTGGCGGCGCCCCACCTGCTCACACTACTGGCCCACGAGCAGCACACGCGACGCGCTCAGACTAATTTTCGCGCGACCCAGTGCACGACGATGTGGTTCCTGGCCGTTCGCGGCCGAGTCGCAGTCACGTCCGAAAGGGCCTTGTGGGGCAGCCCGGGGGGAGGCGCATCCTTGTGGTGGCAACGACCCGGCGCACGCGACGAGGCCGCCGTCAGGTGCAGCGCCTGCAGGGGGCCGAGGCGTTGCACCCCGCCGCTCTGCTGACCCGACAACCGCCAAGCAGCGCCCCGCCACGGCCACGCCCTGAAATATTGAGGCAGGCGCCGCCACCACACTGCAAGGGCTGGAAGGGCTGACTGACGACCACCCCAATTAGGGTCACTCGGCGCCCCTCCCCGCCGGCCTGTTGGCGGCAGCTTCAACAAACGAGTCTCAGGTGCGCCGCAGCAGCAGCAGAGGATCCTGGGCAACCTCGACATTCGCCGAGCACCGGCCGCGCCGCCGGGGTGAAGGCCGGCGGCCAGCGCCCCGCCAGCCCCGCCCCCTTCCGCACCGAGCAGACGGGAAGGGGCTGCGTCCGCGACCAGTTCCACGAGGGTCTTTACGTCCCGGCAGGCCGGCAGGCCAGCTCGCCGCTCCGGCCAAACGATGTGGCGGTGACTGACGTCAGGCGCCGATTGTCCCACACGAGTGATCGCGGCCCTCGCGGGGGCCCGGCTGGCCCGGCCGCTCAAAGGCCAGTCGTTTTCCAGCCGCGGGGCGCTACGCTTAGTGGCGGAGGGGCCCGCACGGCCCGCACGGCCAGATGGCTATTTAATGACACCCGCGCCCCCTTCCGGCAAAACGGCAAGACCAAAAAGAAAGCTGATCGCCCGCACCGCGAGACGCCGTGGCGAGACGCCGCACGCGAGGGTCGATACTGCACTGCCCTCTTGCAGCGGCCAGCGCGACCCCAGGCCTCGCCCCGCCTCTCTCGCACCCCTACGGGGCGACAGAGACAGAGCGACGAAGCGACTCTTTGGAAAACAGACGGCTGGACGGGGCACGCGTCGAGACGCTTTTAGCGGCCGACTCGAGTCAAGCCAGCTGCCCCACTGATTTTTCAGCGGCTGCTCGCTGCTAGAGACCGCCGGCCGGGCCAAGTGGCGCTCTGGCTCGCTCTGCTGGTAATGAGGAAACGAGCGGTTTGCGGCGAGAGCCCCCGGCTCAGCAGACTGATTCCGAGAGTCGTTTTCGTCGCTCTGTCCCTCTCGCACCTATACGGAACGCCCCATTACGTAGTGCGAGAGAGACAGACCGGCGAAAACGACTCGGAGTCAGTCTGCAAGCCCAGCAGGCCCTGCCCGCGCTCCGCCAAGGCAGCCTTGAACGACGATACATTGCAGCGGAGTAGCGGGAGGGAGCCTCTTTGCGCGGGACATCTCGCTAGTTACGAAGCCTCCAAAAAGCAAAAACACCAACACGCATTGAAATTACATTGCAGCTGTCCGGCTGGGAATTCGGCCGACGCGACCGGCGAGTCACGCGACCCCGCTAAGTGCCGCTTCCTGCACCTAAACGGCGCCGCCGCGACCGCGGCCGCGAGGAGCGCGAGTGACCGAGATGTGTGTGTGCCGCGCCGAAGGCCGCGGCGAAAATGGGGAGGGGGGGGTGAGAGAATTCCCTCTTGCAGTGGGAACGACCGGGCAGAGGTCACGGGTGCATTCCAGCGGGCTTCAGCAAGCTGCTTCCGAACAGCCCCCTCTCGTCGTTCTGTCTCTCTCGCGCGTTCGGTACGCCCCTTAGGGGTGCGAGAGAGACAGCGACACTGTTCGGTATCAGCCTCCAGGCAGACGCTGCCGTCGTTCGACCCGCGCGCAGCTGCAGCAGCCAGTGCAGCGACGCGGCCGTTGTTGACCCGCGCGACAGCCGCGACAAGCACGACGACGACGACGACGCGCGTGCGTGGGAGCGGCAACAACCCAGGCCGGCCTCCATTCCGAACTGCGCTCGGTCTCTCTCGCACCCTCGCGGGACGCCCAAAGAGGGCGAGAGCGACAGAGCGCTGTTCGAAATGAGCCGGCTGCAGGCCCCTCCCAGGAGCACGGCGCGAAATCGAGTCAGCAGCCGCGCCGCGCCCACCCGGCGACTGCCTGCACGCGGTACGCCCGCGCGGCGCAGGACTCTACGCGCTACCCCGCAACGGGGCGCGGGTTCGAGTGCCGGCCGCGTCGGACACTTTTAACCAGAAACAAAACACTAAACAGGAAGGCACGCGGCGCCGCGCCTTTCCCGGCGGGGATGTGTCTTGGCAGCGCGCCAACGCCAGCGCCGCCACGCCGCCGCTAGACGAAAGCTACACGGACACGGAGGCACGCGGCGCCGCGGCCTCAACGCCAAGACACACAGCGTGCCGGCAGAGCGGGCCTTGAGTAGGCTCCAAACACTGCAGCCAGCGCGGCCGAGGGGGAGCAGGGCGCCGCGAACCACAAACCCCAAAACAGTCCTCGTTATATTTAGGACGGGGTAGCAAGGCAACACAAGGCTCGCGGGCCGGCCACACACACAATGCAGCGCTCCACCCGCGACCGCGTCACAGGACACGCGGTGAGTCACCGAGCCCGCCATGAGCACCTGTGTGTACCTGTGTGTGTGTGTGCAGTAGGAGCGCCTCGCGCCGTGTCGGACGTGTCGCGCTGCCTCGCGGGACGACGCGACCAAGCGGCGTTCCAATGAGTTCGGCACGCACCCTGCGTCGCCGGCCTTACCGCGGGACGTGGGGCCACTTCCACATGACTGCGTGTCACACGCAGAGTAGTACTAAATTTCTTAAATGTGTCCAGCAGACATTAAACATTTAACAGTGTGTATTGAACCCGGTGCAGCGAGTCGAGTTTTCCAGGGGGCCGGCCGTAGGCCGTAGTACAACGGCGACGTTGCCACATCTCGCCGGTAGGTACTCGCGCCATCGCTTTGCATGACCCAGCCACCCAGCCCAGCCAGCCGCGGCTGCTGCTGCGGCGCGGTCGGCGCGGGTCGCGGTGGGTTTGGCCGGTTCTGCCTGCGCCGGGACCAAACCCCAAATCGGGGATCAATAAGTCACCCGACGGTATCTCCGTCCCTCTCGCACCCCTACGCCGAGCCACACGAGTGCGGGAGGGACAGCCTCCTACCCGGCGATACCCTGCGGTATCTCTTTGTTGCGCTGGCGGTCGCGGCCGCCGATCGTGACCTGGCCGCGGCGGGGCGGAGCGTTAGGCAGCGATAAGCCCACTCAGCGGACACCACGGAGACCCTCCCCTCGGGCCGAACGCGCGGAATGCGCCGCCAACGCGGCCAACGCCAGGCAATGCGGCCCGCGAGAGCATTCCCCGTCACTAAGGCGGCCTAGACGGGCTAGACGGATGGCCGCGCGGAGAGTCTGGGCGGGGAAACCGAAAACAGTGCCCACTCGGGCAGGCCGCCGCGGCCGCCACGCCCCGCCGCACGCCGGGGGACGCATTAGGCAATGCACTCCGCGCCGCCGGCCAGCATCGCGCCCGATTCTCAACAGCGTTCGTCTCTCTCGCTCTCATAGGGTGACCCGCGGGAGAGTGAGAGAGACAGAGCGATGGGGTGCTGCCACGCCGCTGGCTAGACCAGGTTCAACGGCCCGGCCCGCCTCATTAGGGAACAGTAGTGCTATTATTACACGGAAAGGGAAAGGGAATTGGAGGCCGCATCAAAGCCGCCGACGCGGGGATTCGAACCCGCGTCCGTCCCGCGCGACATTCGCGTGTCGGTGGTGGTTGAGACGAGGGAGAGTGGACGAGACCGCCGCTGAGGCCGGCAGGCCGGCTCGAAACTTATTGCGTAAGAATGCGTGGAGGTGGGCGGGCCGGGCGCGGCGCGACCCACACGCCGCCGCCGCCGCCGCCGACCAAGCGACCACGGCGAACTGAGCGCAGCCGCGGCCGCCATCGTCGTCGGCAAGGCGAGGGCATCTCAAAGGACCACACTTCCGGCCCGGCCGGGGTCTTGGAGGCGCCCCAGATCAGCACCTCGACGATAAAGCAAGGTGAGCCGGTGCGCCATTACGTCGACATGACGAGCGCGCGAATCAGGTTCGCGCCGTGGCGGTGCGGTGACTCAGAGGGGCATGACGAGACGAGACGAGGCGCACCGCACGGCCGCAGCGCGCGGCGAAAGCGGAGATGGCCAGCTTGGGCTGCAGGCGGCATGGCGGCAGCGGGAGGCCATCCTGGGAAGGGAGAGATCAGTCATCGTACGACAGGTCCGCGGGGGGCGCGCGGACTTTCCTCGCCGGCCGGCCGGCGGCGTGCTGTTCAAACGCTTCATCGACACTGACTGAGCCACTCCGCCCGGTCGACGTTTAGCACCCCGCTTCGGGGCGCGTTGGCACGTTGGCACGCGCGCTCTAACACGGGAACAGTCATCTCTCGTTTAGCGCGCCACTAAAACTCGCACGCCGCGCGGTCAGGACAGTCAGGACGCGCCCCGCCGTTGAATTCCGAACGGTGCTTTCGTCGCTATGCTGCTCCACTCGCACCCCTTCGGAACGCCCCACGAGTGCGAGCGAGGCAGAGCGACGAAAGCCATACGTTCGGACAGCAAACGATGCGCTGCGCCAAACCGCGGCAAACACGGCGAACGCGGCGCGGGTCGTTGCTTTCTCCAAGTCAATACCCTCGGCAAGCTTCGCGCTTCGCGGAAGGAAGGAAGCAAGAAAGGGGTGGCGGCCGGCGGCATGCACCTGCCCGTCACTGGCCGCCCGGGCCGCCCTGCGACGCGCGACGCACCATCGACCACAAGGCGATTCTAGGCCGCCGCAGGGCCAGCAGGGCGCGCAGGAAGCCCGCGCCGTGCAGGCCGACGACATCCTCATCCTCCCCGCCGTCAAGCAAGGCAGTCAAGACGGCAGGGAAGACCCGCACGCCGCACCCAGATGCTCCATTTCGGAGGGCCCCGCGAAGGGCTCACAGCCATGCACTGCCAGCAGACTGATCCCGTGAGTCGTTTTCGTCGCTCCGTCCCCCTCATTCATGAAGCGTCTCTCATGGTGCGAGAGAGACAGCGACCAAAACTACTCTCAGACTCAGTCTGCGGCTCGTCCAGGACGCGGAAGGCGACTCGCATACTGTATCGAATGGCCGTCGTGTCACAGCCGCCCCGCCGGGCCGTGCCCAGGCCGTGCCCAGGCCGTCCGCGGCGCGACGGCGGACCGTGGGAACCTCCCGCGGCGTGAGGGGAGCGACGGCTGCCTGGGGACGGGGACGCGCACCTCGTAGGGAAATGTGCACTGGAGCCGCAACGACCAGCAGCGCAGCAGGCCAGCTTGGCCAGCGAGCAGGACATACGGGCGGGCCGGCCGGCCGCCACGCCAGGTCGAGCACCTGTTGACTGCTACACTGCCGCCTGACACGCCGCCGTGCGGCCCGCTAGGCCTGCCGCAGGCTGATTCCGAACAGTGTTTCGGTCGCTCTGTCTCTCTCGCACTCATGGGCCTTATCCTAGGGGTGCGAGAGAGACAGAGCGACGAAACACTGCGCGGAATCGGTCCGCCGCCGGTGTCGCGGCGCACGCCCGGCAGGCCAAGTAGCGCAATAAGCACGAGCATACGTGCCCAGAGCGGACGTCGTAAACGACAGCAAACAAAGTGCGGCCGCATTTTGACCAGAAGGAAATAGAAAGCTATTTTGAGAACGTGAAGGAGCTCTTTTTGCTGCACTGTCCGTTCGTTTCTTTCTTATAAAACGATAGAAACTGAGGAAATAAAACCGAAAGGTGATACGCCCCTGCCTCCCAGATGCACCTGCTCCTCTCCGCAGCGCACCGTGACCAATCCACTGCCGGCTTACGTGCCGGGGCTACTAGTACGATAAGTGCGAGAGAGAAAGACAAAGCACTAAAACCAATCAGGTGGCGGTGGTCGGGCCGGCGCGTAATAGGTCGAGCAAGCCCAGGGAAACAAGAGGCAAGCCGACTTCCTCGGACCGAAGACGAGCACCGAACCGGATTCCCTCCGCTCCCCCACGGCAGCGCGCCTTCAAGGACACAAGGAATCCTCGGGAGAGGAGGGGGGGGGGGAACGCTTCCAGCTACGCTGCCTCGCCGGTGTCGGTCCACCGGTGCGCCGCGAGAGCCAACGGACACAGCCATGCAGCCTCACGGCTTTGTTGTCCTTCCACGACGACGGCGTCGAGGAACCCGCTGAGCGGCAGCGGCGGAGCCGTCGCCGTCGACAGAAACATCCTCGCCACGCCCCCAGCTCGCGCAGCTCGCCGGGGCGGGGGCGTGGTTGGCGAGGCGTGGGCGTGCGAGGGAGAGGCCGCGTGTTTTGGCCGACGATCATCTTCCGCGCCGCTGCGCCGGCCAACTTGACGCGTCGCGGCGGGCCGGGCCACGGCGCCGACGGCCGAGGGGGGCTTGTTGTGCTCCCGGGCGGCGTCCAGAGGTGGACGCCAAACGCCGGCGAGGACGGGCTGGTGGCCGCCAGCGACCAAAACACCACCAATACACTCACCGCGAAGAGGAAGTTAAAGAAGAACAGGAGGTACTTGATGGTGCTGCTCCCGCAGCTCAGTCCGGCCGACATGGTGACGGGTAGCTTGTCCTACACAGCACTAGCGATGCACGCGGAGACGCGGCGGCACTAAACGTGAGGTAAAGGGTTCGGTGTGCACGGCGCGGACACTAGATTCCAACTGAACTGGCTTGACTCGATTGTCTCTCTGGAGGTGCAAGAGCTCCGAGCTCCGCCGCCGAGCGCTGCGCTGCGTCGCGCGCCGGGACGGCCGGGACCGGGTGGGGAGTGGGGAGGGGGCCGGACGGCCGGACGGTGAAGGGGGTGGGGGAACGTGAACGTGGGGAACAGGACGGGAGACTTGGGCGGACCGACTGAGGTACTCCTCGCCCTGTCGTCGCCCTCGCCTGTTCTGTTTTTCTTCGGTCTTCCCTCCTCTTTCCTCTCGCGTGCATCAACACTGTTCCTCTCACTCGCGCAATCCCAGAATAAAGGAGGGAAACCATTAGAATAACCTGGGTTGAGGGAAGCGGGGAATGACAGGCGCGCGGCTCGGAGGCGTGGGGTATCGCCGGAGCCGCCGGAGCAGTGCGAGGGCGGCAATACCCTACGAATACAAAGCATGACGAACGGGGAGTATCCCCTGCAGGCTACAGCTGCTACAGCGAGAGCGACCTACTGTACCAAGAGCCCAGCGGACCTAGTCTGATTTATCTTCGAATTTGTTAAGCGGTCCCAGCGTGAAGCTACGGTGGATCGTTGGAATTACTAGACCGTTTCAGAAGTGGTAATGCAGAAAAATTGAAGGAGAATGAATACAAATATGAGTACACACACACACACACACATACACACCCACCGCAAGTTGTAAAAATGTGCCAATAGCTGCGCATAAGGAATACCTCGTGCTCTGCCGCAGGCTTGCAGGACAGGGAAACATAAACTTTGGAAGGCAACCTTCAAAGTCCTCTGACTTTACGAGCGGGCATCCCAGGCGAACGGCGCACATCCTGTAAGTATACGACCGCTTCGTCATCACGCGGAGTGCGACGCACAAGGCCAGCGCGCGCACGGGCGATACCCCTCGACCCAGTCCGCATGGCCCACATTGGCCTGCGGCGATACTCCGCGCCAGTCGGAGGCGATACCCCGCGCCGCAGGTCGACTGCCGCGCTGCGTGGCGCGCTCTCGCGGCGAGAGGCGCAACCTCACTGCAATTGGCAGAACGTGTCGCGCTGCGCCCGCCACGCCCCGCCACTGTGTTTTGCAACAACCTGCCCCCAAAGCAGCGCAGCAGCGCGGTGAGTCGCCGCGCTCGATCACTCCACACGAACACACGAACTCACGAAGAAGGCCCTGTTAGTCGTGGCGCTCCCGCGCTTTTCCCCGCGGAGGCCCTGGAGGCCCTCTGGTCGGAGGGAAGTGCCAGCGCCTTGGCGCGCCTTGGCCGCGCGTTGCCATGGCAGCACGGCTTGCCGACGTGCACGGGGCGACCCGCGACGCCGCGTCGCCGCGTCGCCGCTCGTGGTGACCTTTCGGTGCAGCCCGGCAAACCCGGTTGCCTAGGCAACGCCAGGCAACGCCATGCAACGCGACGTTGATAATGTTATCACGGAGTTGTACCTGGGCCGCAGGGCTGCACTGCGCTGTGGTGCTTGGCCGTCTTTACGGCCGCGGAGCAACACAAACACACAGCGGCCCTGCGGAAAGCGCAACACGTCTCAAAGGGAACACATCGCGCCGAGCGCCAATTTCTCATACGCCCTCGAGAGAAAGGGAGGAAGGCATGAGAGAGATGTAAGCTGTCGGGATGTTGTCACCAGCTTGATGGAAAGGGTCTGTTTTCCTTTTCCTCTTGTTTCCTCCTTTCATCCACGCCGCCTCTGGCTCCGTCGTCGCCGTCCTCGCCGCGTCGTCTATCGGCTCCCCCGTTACAACTCCTTCTTTTCCAGTCGAATCATTGTGGTGTGGTAAGCTGTCAGCTGGCGCCGCCCAGCGACGCGCCGAGCGACGCCCGAGGGGTGCGGCGACAGCGGCAGGGGTTAAGGGTGACGCTGGCGGCGGGGCGGAGCGGGGCGGGGCGGGGCGGGGCGGGCCGCCCGCGGCGCGACAGCAGCGACAGCCCACGGGGAGAGAGTGGACGCCGAGCTGTAGCACCGCGAGAAAAGCATGCGGAGCGTAGCGCTCTCGCAGCGCCCCCGCCACGCCCCGCCCAACCCCGCCCCGCCACGCCCGGCCTGTGGCGCCACATCCACCATACGTCACGCGGTGGCACGCCAGGGGCGGCAGGGGCGGCAGGCCAGGGGTGGGACGCGGCGGTTTGGAGAGGGCGGATGGAGGATAGGGCGAAATGAAGCCCGGGCACGGGGGTGAGGCGCCGGGGTGGGGGCCGTCGGGGTGGTGGGGGACGGGGTGGCGGCCATGGGCGTCCAAATGACAAAACGGTGTATCATAGCATGTGATCTGCATTCCGATAGGGCTCTCCTCGTCGCACGCACGCCGCGCGGCCTGGTGCCGTCTCTCTCTCTCTCTCTCTCTCTCTCTCTCTCTCTCTCTCTCTCTCTCTCTCTCTCTCTCTCTCCCAGCAGCCTGCCTGCCTGCCTCCCTCTGTGTTCGTGCTTGCGCCCTTCTGTCCGCCCTTCTGCCTGTCCGTCTGCCTCGGCCCTCCCTGACGCCGTTCAACGCGGTGTAACTCGCACCCTCCCTCCCTCCCTCCCTCTCTCTCTCTCTCTCTCTCTCTCTCTCTCTCTCTCTCTCTCTCTCTCTGTCTCTCTCGCTCTGTCTCTCTCGCTCTGTCTCTCTCTCTCGGCCGCGTTAAATGACTCTGTCCCCCCTCTCTCTCACACTGATCCCTCCCCGCCCGACCACATCTTTCTGCGTCTTCGTGCTCCCTCCGTATACTCCTTGCCGCCCCTGGTCTTCTCTTCGTCACGTCTTCGCGCGTCTTCGCAACCCCCGCCGCTTATCCTTGTTTCCACTTGCTCCTTCCACCGCCTGCGCCGCGGCCTGCGCCCCCTCAACCAAACCAGCCCCCCCCCCCCCGTCAACCGCGCCCCCTCAACCAATCCACCTCGCCCCGCCCCGCCCCCTGGCGACCCCATTCGGTGCCGTGCCCGCCGTGTTGTGGGGATGCGACCCGCCCTAAACACGCAGGGGGCGGCGGGCCGTGGCGCGGGGGACCCGACAATGGGCGATCCTGTTGCCAGCCTCTTCCCCTTCTACACTGGTTGCATTTTGTTTGGTCGTTTCGGTGTTTGTCGAAGTTTCACGTTGGTGTGCGCACCGTGCCATCCCCTCGGGGATTTTGATTTTTAACGAGTTTGCAACAACGGCCATTTTGTGGCACACCCTGCCATGTCGACGCCGCGACGCGTGTGCCCCCTCGCAACAGGGGCGGCAGGTGGAGTCGAAAGGGGAAAGGGGGGGGGAGGCTGGCCCCGCGAGGGACGCGACGACGACGACGACGCACAGGGAGCAGGGCGACGTGGACGACGGAGCCCGACGACGAGCAGGAGGGACTTGAAGAGGAGAGAGACGAGGGGTTGAATAAGAACAGGGCGGCAGCCGGCTTTATTAGAAACGCCAAGGAAACTGCTCCTTGCGCCAAGAAGCGCAGCCACGCCACCCCGTCGCTCTGTCACGCCCCGCCCCGCCACGCCCCGCCCCGCCACGCCCCGCCCCATCCCGCCACGCCCCGCCACGCCCCGCAGAGGGCCTACCCTGTGGAGGCGGTGCGGTGGCCGCCGAGGTCGGAGTGTCCGCTGCCGGCGCCACCACTGCTGCTGCTGCGCTGCCGGTCGAAATTAAACAAATTGATTGCATTTCAATGGGAAAATGTCGGTGGCTTGTCGGCCACCGGGGGAAATAGGGGGGGGGGGGCAGGAAGGAGGGCGTTCAATATCGCGAAGCAATATCGCGGCGAGTGTCGACTCGCGGATAGATGCGTGACAGTTCGCTGCGAGGAAGGCAAGCGGAGCGAGGGAGAGGAAAGGGAGCGCCTTTCTTCCCTTTTTCGCGCCTTCCTTTTGATTTGGAAAGGCGGGAAAGCCAAAGCCTTTGTGCCAACGGAGGAGAAGCGTGCGACGAGTGGCGACGAGCGGACCAGCCAGGCAGGAAAGGGTGCGAGAGAGACAGAGCGACGAAAGCGCCACGCAGCAGCGCGATGACGCGGGCCGCCGAGTCGTTCCGCGCTGCCTGCTGGACGCGCAAAAAAAGAGAAGGGGTGCAGGGGCACGCCACTGGTAAAAGCCTCCGCGAGAGCACTCTCAAATGAGCGGCTAATAAATTATGCCATATCAGAAGAGTCACTGTTGAAAGGAGCAAAAATGGAAATGGCGATGGGGCCGAGGAGATTGCGGACGTCGCGACGCCCAGCGACGCCACGGCGAGGGCGGAAGTGGGGAGGACAGCTGCAGGATAAATGATAAGGTGGCGCGGACGGCGCGGGGGAGGGGGAGGGGGGAACCTCCGAGGTCCTTGCAGGTCAGAGCCGGGCTGCGTGTCCGCGGGTGGCGTTAGCGAGGCCCCGGCGGCGTTCCCAACTTGACTTGTGGATCACAATGATCTTATGCTTTTCGGCGCGTTGTGCGTCCAGCGTCCGGCGTGCGCCGTCCGCCGCCTCTATCGAGGCCCTCCTGGCGATGGTCGTGCGATTACACCCTCGGTGTCGTGGTGCGGGGCTCGGGCGATCGCATAATGGACAATGGAGCCCGATGGAGCCGGGTTGGCGCTTTTGGTGCCTCGGCGCGTGGCGTGCGATCTTGTGAATCCCGACAGGGGAAAGCGCTCTCGGCCTCGGCTTCGGCCTCCACGGTCACCTCCAAAACTTTTGGACGGCCTCAATCGGCGCGCGGTCAAACTGACAGCTCCGTTTCGGGCGGGAACAAAAGAGCGACGGGACGACGACGAGATGCTTCGATCAGGGAGCGGTGGCGGGGAGGGGAGGGGAAGGGCCCCCAGCCCTCCAGCGTGGAGGAGCAGGGGGTTCTGAAATTCGGAATCACAACTCAGTAGAACGAGATAAGGCCGAAAAGAGAAAAAAGAAGCGGAGGGGTTGCGAGCGATGGGGAATGGAAGGGAATGGTGCCTTCGGAGCGAGGCGGCAGGGCGAAGGGGGCAGTGGCGGAGCCAGGGGTGGTGTTTGAGGGGGATGGATGGCAAAACAGCACTTTTTGCCTACTTACAGGGGCAAAGTATGGCGTTTGCCCACCTTCCGGGCGGTTCTATGTGCCACGTTGAGGGAGATGGGGCAAAATCCC